ACCACCAACATTAGCTATGTAATCATCATAGTCATAGTATAGCGCATCATCATCTTCAAACTCATTTCTATCTACGCATAAGCAAGAACCAATCTTAGTCATAAGCAAGAACCAATCTTACCTACGCATCAAAACCACAACGATAATTTGTCAAGTTGGTGCTGTTTTAACCTTCGCAAGGACCGGGCGTAGCCACACTCGGTTCAACTAAAGTTGGAGAAACTGTCACCCGCTAGCCACCTTTGTGCAAAGCACGTTGGGAGAACCGGTCTCGCGTAAGCGTACGCGTAATGTCGGTCCGGGCCGCTTCATCCAACAATACCGCCGAACCAAAGTATGACATGCTGGTAAGCAGTATGACTTATATCGCCCACAACTCACTTGTGTTCTACTCGTGCATATAACATTAACACATAAAACCTAGGCTCGGATGCCACTGTTGGGGAACGTAGTAATTTCAAAAATTTCCTACGCACACGCAAGATCATGATGATGCACAGCAACGAGAGGGGAGAGTGTTGTCTACGTACCCACGCAGACCGACTGCGGAAGCGTTGACACAACGTAGAGGAAGTAGTCGTACGTCTTCCCGATCCGACCGATCCAAGCACCGTTACTCCGGTACCTCCGAGTTCTTAGCACACGTACATCTCGATGACGATCCCCGGGCTCCGATCCAGCAAAGCGTCGGGGAGGAGTTCCGTCAGCACGACGGCGTGGTGACGATCTTGATGTTCTACCGTCGCAGGGCTTCGCCTAAGCACTGCTACAATATAATCGAGGTGGAATATGGTGGCAGGGGGCACCGCACACGGCTAAGGAACGATCTCAATGATCAACTTGTGTGTCTAGAGGTGCCCCCTGCCTCCGTATATAAAGGAGCCAAGGGGGAGGGGGCCGCCGGCCAGGAGGAGGGCGCAGGAGGGGGGCCGGCCACCTCTCCTAGTCCTAATAGGACTAGGGGAGGGGGGAGGCGCGTGGCCACCTTGGGCTGCCCCTTTCTCCTTTCCACTAAAGCCCATTAAGGCCCATATGGCTCCCGGGGGGTTCCGGTAACCTCCCGGTACTCCGGTAAAATCCCGATTTCACCCGGAACATTTCCGATGTCCAAATATAGGCTTCCAATATATCAATCTTTATGTCTCGACCATTTCGAGACTCCTCGTCATGTCCGTGATCACATCCGGGACTCCGAACTAACTTCGGTACATCAAAATGCATAAACTCATAATAACTGTCATTGTAACGTTAAGCGTGCGGGCCCTACGGTTCGAGAACAATGTAGACATGACCGAGACACGTCTCCGGTCAATAACCAATAGCGGGACCAGGATGCCCATATTGGCTCCTACATATTCTACGAAGATCTTTATCGGTCATACCGCATAACAACATACGTTGTTCCCTTTGTCATCGGTATGTTACTTGCCCGAGATTCGATCGTCGGTATCCAATACCTAGTTCAATCTCGTTACCGGCAAGTCTCTTTACTCGTTCCGTAATACATCATCCCGCAACTAACTCATTAGTTGCAATGCTTGCAAGGCTTAAGTGATGTGCATTACCGAGAGGGCCCAGAGATACCTCTCCGACAATCGGAGTGACAAATCCTAATCTCGAAATACGCCAACCCAACATGTACCTTTGGAGACACCTGTAGAGCACCTTTATAATCACCCAGTTACGTTGTGACGTTTGGTAGCACACAAAGTGTTCCTCCGGCAAACGGGAGTTGCATAATCTCATAGTCATAGGAACATGTATAAGTCATGAAGAAAGCAATAGCAACATACTAAACGATCGCGTGCTAAGCTAATGGAATGGGTCATGTCAATCAGATCATTCACCTAATGATGTGATCCCGTTAATCAAATAACAACTCTTTGTCCATGGTTAGGACACATAACCATCTTTGATTAACGAGCTAGTCAAGTAGAGGCATACTAGTGACACTCTGTTTGTCTATGTATTCACACATGTATTATGTTTCCGGTTAATATAATTCTAGCATGAATAATAAACATTTATCATGAAATAAGGAAATAAATAATAACTTTATTATTGCCTCTAGGGCATATTTCCTTCACATTCTTCGTAACACATGTCCACCAAAAACTCCTAATGACAGCAGTGAGCTTAGCAAGATACTTCTTTGTGAACAAAATGTTAGCCATATAATAAACATGAATAGCGGAGAAAACAAAACGACTCAATTCCAGTCTAGCAGCATGGGAAAGTATATTGGGTTTATAAGCAAACAATTTATTCATAAACTTGTCAAGAGCAAAGCTATAAGCAGCAGTTCTATTTTTGGCAGGAAGAATAAGCGGATGAACAGGATTGGTGAAATTGCTATCCAAGGTAGAAACAGGAAAAACTTGCTTAATCTCCTGAATAGTAGCTTGAGTAACATGAGAACTAAAAAGAATGGCAGATTGGGCCCAGTTTGTAGTTTGACGTGAGATAGAACAAAAGTGATGGATAAGATGAGCCATCGAATTAGCTTCCTGGATAGTGGCTTGACCATAAACCAAGACATCGTCTGCAAACAACAAAGAATGAATAGAAGGGCAATTTGGACCAAGAGAAATTCCCTGAAGATGATTAGCAGCAAGAAGCTTCATTGGGAGCAACAGACAATTCATTCATATCGATAACAAACAAATAAGGAGACATGAGACAGCCTTGACGAATACCTCTAGAAATTTTAAATTTATGCGAAGGCTGCCACTAAAAAGCACAATGAAAGTAGGAGACGAAATGCATGCATGTATCAAATTAATGAAATGACCATGCAGCCCTTTACGTGCAAGAGCAGGCAGAATGAAGTTTCATTCTAGTCGATCAAAAGCTTCGACACGATCTATTTTAAGCATGAAAGCATGATGTTTTCACAACTTAAGAGAGAGCAATATTGGTGTCATTAATTTGAGAAGGTAAAATACCAGTTTCATAAAATTTAATCACAAGTTGAGCGACTTCCTCCCCTATCCAATCCCATATGCCGGCAAACAAAATTCAGCATTAATTTGTATAGTCAACAGGAGACAATAGACATTTGAGCAATCCAGAGTTATAGATGTACTCCCTCCGTCCGGAAATACTTGCCAGAGAAATGCATAAAAATAAATGCATCTAGAACTAAAATACATCTAGATACATCCATTCCTCCGACAAGCATTTTGGGACGGAGGGGAGTATAAAATATTTGACCTCGTTGTTCCCTGTTTGATGAGCAGCAGCAGCGGAGAGAGAGAGACCCGTCCGGTCCTGTCTCGTTGTCCTTTCTTGCCGGTCTCCCTGATGGACGGACCATGCCATTGTACACTGCACATTGGCCCGGTCCCAACCCAATCTGCCTGGCCGGCCAGTCTTTGAGACGCTGCTGATCCTTGTTGCCTGTTGCCTGTTGCCTGTTGGTATCCCCGCAGCCGCAGTACACAGCTTTGGCCACTTCTGCGGTTGGGAAAGCTCATCGGGGCCCTTGCCGGAGGGAAAGCCTGAACCTTCCTCTTCCAGCCACTCCGAGCCGGCCGGCCTCACGCGACCCACGCACGTGATGGCCTTTGCCGCCCTCGCCTTCCACCCATTCGTTTCCAAGCCGGACGCTTGGCGGCAACTTGAAAACATCCAATTTCCCGCAAAAAATAAAAGAAAAAAGAAAACATCCAATTTCCAATCAATCATGAAAACAAAAACAAAAGGCATTTGCAGCATGAGTGAACTTATTAATTGCCTGGCTAACCATATATTACTTCTAGTTGCCGCCAAGTTTGGGTTGCAACCCTATGTTACTTCTCGGTAGCCAATAAATGACGCTCTCTTTTAAATAAATTAAGAAAAATAAATGACACTATTCTTATTCGAATTCCAGTACTCCCTCCGTTCACTTTTGTAAGTCATTTCAGACAGCTCAAAATGGGCTGTTTTGTACATTGTCTGAAATATCTTGAAGGTCTTATAAAAGTGAACAGAGGGAGTACATGTTTGCATTTCGAACCGTCCCCCATAGCCGACATAGAGGCGGTTGCGGTTCTGGCCCCCGGACGAAAATTGATGCTCCGAGCCATTGTTTGTTTTAGTAACCTATTATTAATGTTTCATTTGCGCTGGTGAATTTTGTTGGTTGATTGTACAAAGTCAAGGATAGAGCGCAAAGTTGTGCCGCATGGGGCTCCATGGAGCCTCCTTTTTTGTTTTTGGAAAAACATCAGAAACCTTATTTAAAAGTTTCGAAATTATTTATGTGAAAAGTTGTTTGTGTTCACTACGGATATGTAAAAAAAAAGGTTTAATGAAACTATATAATGATGTGTAAGCTACAAAAAATATATTCTCGGGCAAACAACAAAATTGGCCCTTCGTACATACATATTTTCTTTTCTTTTTCTGCATGCCAACGTATGAAAGTGCATCATTATAAAATTTCACAAATATATAGTCTACGTGTATAATTCTTCTTTTTAGATGCATACATATGGTCAAGGGTAGCCTTGCACCCTCTAGATGGAGCTTATCCGCATTCTCTGCCGGGATATGGCGGGAGACGATGTAGAGAGGGAGACGCCGCACGGCAGGGTAGGCCAGGGTGGCCTTGTCCAACCAAACGTGCGACCGCTCAAAAATTAAAATAAAAACAAGTCGTGCGCAATTCCTCTTTTTTTTTTAAGTTCCATTCCTCATTTTCAGTGAGAGTTGCCTCTTCTAACCAAATTTTCAACGAGAGGAACAATTTGAAAGAAGAAAAGCATTTTCTTTTTTTTGGCTTAAAAATGGTTTTGGGGGAAACGGGCGGATGCTCTCATACCGTGCAGTTCGTATCGTGCATGAAGCAATTTCGGCTCTCATATGAGGCGCGCCCCTCGGCCCTGACACCCCCACTACCACCCACCACCCTCCTCTCCCCCCTCTCCCTTTCCAAAGTAGTAGTAGTGTACACAGCCGCTGCTGCGCTAGCTCCTCCTCCCCCCAATCTCTCCGCCGACGGCTCACCGGAGACGATGCTGCGGAGGAGCTACCGATGGTTGGATGCCCAGCCACGGAAAGTCCCTGTTCGCAGAGCAGTGTTGCCGACCAAGCCGGGTTCCGCCGGGTGCGACCCCACTCCGGCGACGGCGGCGGCTACCCGGCCTCCCGATGGTGGCGTCGTCGTCGAAGCCGCGAGCGCCAAGATCCCGCCGAGCCTCATGCAGAAAGCGACGTGCTTTCGTCCGCCGATCTCCAGGCGCCGTCCGCTAGGGTGGCCTTCCACCTTGGCGACTCCTCCACCTCCGAAGTGCCGCGACCCCACTCCGGCGACGGCGGCGGCTACGCGGCCTCCTGATGGTGGCGTCCTCGTCGAAGCCGCGAGCGCCAAGATCCCGCCGGGCCTCATGCAGAAGGCGACTCTCTTTCGTCCCCCGATCTTCAAGCGTCGTCCGCTACGGTGGCCTTCCACCTTGGCCACTCCACCGCCGAAGTGCGACCTCGACGTCCAAGTCGGGAGTTGCCGCCTCATGCCTCCCCGCTCTCTTGCTGTGCTTCCAGCAGACAGGTCGAGCGACCATGGCTTCACTTCGCCTGCCAGCGGCGACATCTCCCTCGCAGGCTGCTCCAAGGAAGAGCAAGTCCCGCCAGCAAAAGACACGACTTTTTCCCATCCTCGAGTTCAAAGGTACTGCAATTTCATGGTCTCTCCTTTGTGCTCAATCGGTTCCGCATCAGTGGGAAATTTGTGTCATTTCTAATGGAAAAATGATACTGCATCTTGTTTTTGTGTGTGTGCTCAGTGTTATGTTATTTCTGTCCCCAAATTAATGTGCCATATAGCTACAGCACAAACATCGTAGAGTATTTTCGAAGTAGTTGTATTTTATTTGCGGTGCCATCATGATAATGATCTCCTTATGTTGATTGTTGCAGAAAGGTGAACACCCAGCTGATTCCTCTTGCGAGTCATGATACATTTGATGAACACCCAGGGCCATACAATGGCAGTGTTCAGAGACAAATGAAGGCGTTTGGGGTGCATGGTGTGCACTTCACTTCTCTCCAGAAGCCTACCCGCTCTCTTGCTGCGCTTCGAGCCAGGTTGAGCCAAGGTGTCACTTCTCCTACCAGTGGCGACACCCTCCTCCCTGGCGAATGTTTGTGCTTGAAAGAAATTGATCAAGTCCCGCCAACAAAATACACCAGCTTTTCTCATCCTTCAGAAAAAAAAAGGTACCGGACTTCCATCGTTTCTCATTTGTGCTCAATCGGTCTCACTTCAGTTGGAAATTTGTGTTATTTGTGCTCAAAAGGTGTGTGCAATGTTGTTTCTCTTGTTTGTGCTCAATCTGTCCAATTTGTGTTACTTGTACTTGATTCACTTTAGTAGATTTGTTATACGCTGGATTTATGCCACAACAATTCTTTGGAAGTTCAGGCTTAACCACCTTGTCCACAACATTGTGCGGATGAGGCAACGCTACGACATTTGTTATTCTATTTCTGTTCTCAAATGTGACAACATCAAAAACATTGTAGCTTCCAGGTCGTTGTATTTTCTTTGCGGTGTCTTCATGATAATGATCTTGTTATGTTGATTGTTGCAGAAACTACTACACTACACAGATGATGTCTCTAGCAAATCTTGATATATTTGATGAAAACCAAGGTCTTGCGAAGATGATTATTGTAGAGCAGCCAAGATCTTGCAAAGATGATTATTTCAGAGCAGCAACCACCATGGTTCCAGAGAATGAGAAGCTGTCCCCGAAGTGTACTTCTTCCACTGATCCATCACAGAACATCTTCTCTGGGCACTTCTATGCTGAAGACATAATTTCTATTTCTGAAAGAAAGCTGTTTCCAGAGCATGGTGTGAAGATCACCTCTCCTCAAGAACCATGCAAGTACTTGATGAGATCTCCCGTGGATGAATTTGACAGAGCAAGCAAACTGTCCGCAGAAGTTGGTGCAGATGCTCTGATCCAGAAGCGATCGAAGAAGTTATTCTCAGCTCAACAGTTTGATGGAAGTGTGAGACCAAAAATGGTCCAGAACTGGGGAAGCAAGACAATAGCATATGGCATATCAAGACGGTGCTTTTCAACAGGCCCGGCTGATCATAACACACCTCTGTCACCACTTCCTCCCCCTCCTGATAATCTATTGGAAGTAGTGCGGCCCTTTACCGAGTCTGAGACAAAACCTTTCTATATTCAAGTTGTTCCTGCAGAGGCTTTCATTCAGGCTGTCAAGACTGATAACACAGTTGTTACAGATGCATTGGAATCTAGCTCTCTTGAGAAGATCTATCATCAACTGGTCAGACCAGCACTACTGCCCAGAGGGATGCTATTCCCATATAAATTGCATGATAAAAGGACTAAACCTGTACACAACAGGTTTAAGAAGATCACCCAGAAATATCCAATCTATATGACCAGTGTGGATATCATGGTAGCTCTCATAACAACGGAAAGAAATAAATGGTTACCGTTGCTTGATGATTTAAGCAAGAAGCACATATATGTGATTGAAGACTGGAATCAGAGGTTCTATACATCCACAGGGTACACCATACAGGACTACGGTCTACGAGTTGGACCCAATAAAGGAAAAGGGTACTATCGTGGGGAATGTGATGGTTCATTCAACCATAAGACGCGCTTAGCCAAAATAACAGCAAAAATATGGCTTGATGATCAAATTGTTTGCTGCGCTGTTTGCTATGACATTCCTTGTAAAGATTCTGTGCACGCAGAGGCCCTCGCCATGTCCTATCTTCTCAAGATAGGAGCCCCTTTCAAAAAGCTGCAAGTTTTATCAGATTGCGAAGTTGTTATCAATATAATAAAAGGATCGAAGCAAGTTGGTCCTTCTGATAAAAACTATGACACCTTTATGCAACTACGGATTTTGGCAGCGCAATACGAGGAGCTTATACCAAGACTGGAAACCAGAGAGAAGCTGAGTTTTTCTGATAGTCTTTTAAAGAAGAAATCACAACCAAACTACACGCTTGAGTATGTGAAAGACATGTTGGAGAGGTGGGCGCCACCATTGAGAGGATCCCCAGTGTTCATGGTTGGTGACAATCCGGTGACAGCGATAAAGAAACTAGGTGCACATCTCTCTACTCTTATGATTATCTCTCCCATTGAAAAACTGAATGCAAACTAACTTCTAGTGTTCACAACTCTTCAATTGCAGCAAGCAATACGATTATCCTTAATGAGTTTCAAAACAGTTGTTATTGTGAGGTTGAGAAAGATACCGATAAGCTATCTGCTTTATTTCACATAATATCAGCTCTTGGGGCCTACGACATCAACCTGATTGTCAACGACTTGGAAACAAGGCCTGAGCTGAAACAACAGTTCATTGAAATGTTTGGGCCTTGCGAGGTATCCTGGAAGGTTGGGCGGCGGTACTTCTTGAAAGTACCAAGGCCAGCACTGTATTCATATATTGAGCCAAAGATGCGTCTATTTGTTGTCTTCGATGCAGCAGACGCAAGGGACTGCTTCATGGGTGATGACAATACATTTGTGGTGCTGTTGTCAACCCCGAAAGAAAGGGCGCTCATGAATGAGCTGAGCATCGAGTTGTTCAGCCCAATTAGCTATGTGTCGTTTCACAGATGTGAGTTTATATCAACATCCCAAATACAACAACAATTGTGGAGGTGTGAGAGGTTTACGCTAACTTACATTTTCCTGTGTAGACACAAATGCTAACCAAAAGGGCTCACAAATCACAGAAGAACAGAAAAAAGAGGAATCATCTGGACATCTGGTGAGTATCAAACAACTTCTTTTGAATTATTTGCATGTTTGACAAAAACCATATCTGTAGCATTCTCCCTATGTTCCAAAATAGAGTAGTTGTTTTCTTTTCTTTTAAAGATGAGCTTACTAGTTCACAAAGTTGCTCCTTTTCCAAGCCTCCCCTCTCACATCTTCACCAGGAGACAAAGATGCCCCCTCCAACTCTTACTGCAACCTTATTGCAACTAACTTAGGCCTATTCTTTGTCCAAACTGAAATCCACTCAATGCAGGTGGATTTTGTTCCAACCACTATCCTAGCTTCTCCATGCTTCACAACGAAACACTCCTTTTGCGTAGAAAAAACAACAATGAACAGTTACTATGGAGTATGGACTGACTTAATTGAATCAGTAATACTTGGTAGCAGTCACCACTCACCAGTACTGGATTGGTTTCAAAACAAGCCAAAAGCGTGGTGCTTAGTTAACTTAACCTGTATAACTCTGTTGTTAAGTAGAAACAATGTATGTACTAGCCGCAACTTGTGCTCTGCTTTTCATGTGAAGCTCATATTTGCTAATTTTGCAGTAGTAGCAGCTTCAAGAACTTTGTGGTTCAGGCGAACCTTTGAGACAGGGTTGTAATTCAGCGAGTGCACGCCGAACACTTCATGTTGCAATTTTTGATTCAATCAAGACCAACTTCATGTCGCAATCTTTGATTCAGTCAAGACCAACTTCATGTCGCAATCTTTGAGAAAGTGTTGTAATTCAGCAAGTGCACGCCAAACACTTGTAGTTACCATTCTCATCTTATGAATTCAACATGTAAACCCCCTCTCTAAATTTGCACTATTTCCAGCATTTGTTTCCTTAATAGTTGTGGCAACTACCTCCCTTGGCCAAGTTGGATCACTATTTCTTCTTCAGAAGTATACATGTGGCTAAGTATTTACGGTTATTTGTTTGAATAGTGTCCATGAAATGAGTGCACAACAGTAGTGGGCAGCACAATTATAATGTAGTATAATATAGCTCTCATAGTGAAATTTGTGGCCAGGCAGAACCTTGTCAGCTACGTACTAGACATGATACGCTCAGGAAGGGGTAGCTCAAGGTCTAAAGTGTCATTTATTAATTTAGCCTAATACTCACCCGGGCTAACTTGTGTTTATTAACTTAGCTTGGGATGAACTCTTCCCTAACACTCACCTCCCTTCTCTTTCGCGGTCTGCCTCGGATCATGTGCCAATTCTGGTTTATGCTTCATAACAAATGTGAAATCACTAGTTAAGGAGTATCCCCCGCAAAGGTCAGTCGTGGCGGGGGGTCTCCCGGCGCGACAAGTGTCATGTTGTCGAGGTTCGGTAGACTTTTCCGGGGCTCTTCGCATTCGACACTTGCCGCGCGGGCAGGAGCTCCACCGTGATTCCCAGTTTCTGGTTTTTGCTTTCTAGTTTTCCCTTTTACACTTTAGTCCTATTTTTTAGGTTCTCTATTGTACCTTTTGATTTATTTCTCAGATATGTCTTCCTCTCGTGTCGCTGTCACCGCCGCTCTGGTTCCGTCGTGTGTTTGCCCCATGCTAGGCCTGCTTACTCGCCGCGTCTGCCTGTCTACGGCTACCCTTACTCATCGACGGTAATCGTGTTCCCTTATTCCTTGGTTTTCCCTTTTCTTCATTTTATTTCCGGAAAATGGAGTTTTATGTGATA